TCGGCGTAGTGGATTATGAACTGTTAAAACCGACGAAACAATCACAGGCGATCGGTAGCGAACGCAATTGATGCGTTTGAGCCGAGCATTGAAAGACAAACGACCGCAATACAACGAGAGACACGATAAAGTGATTTTGCAGCATGACAATGCTCGACCCCATGTTGTGGTCAAGACATACTTGGAAATGGGAAGTCCTATCCCACCCGCCGTATTCTCCAGACGTTGCTCCCTCTGACTATCACTTTCGATAAATGGCACACGGTCTGGCTGACCAGCACTTCCGGTCTTATGAAGAAGTAAAAAATTGGATCGATTCGTGGATAGCCTCAAAAGATGACCAGTTTTTTCGACGGGATTCGTACGCTACCCGAAAGATGGGAGAAAGTAGTGGCCAGCGATGGACAATACTTTGAATCATAAATGTATAACCAGTTTTTTACAATAAAGCCTCGAATTTCAGAAAAAAAACGGCGGAAGCAAAGTTGTACACCTAATATGTAAAATAGATGTATAAAAGTAAATGCTCCATTATTCGGAAAAGAACTTGAAATTGTAAAAACATTATGCCGCTTGATGACTTACAAAGAAACCTTAGAATGTAGTCGTAAAGTTTCAAAGTAACGCATTTGATTTGACAAATAATCCACTTAGAGTATTGTTTAGAAACATAATTAAACAAAAACTACATACAAATTTTGAATATCACGATTCCTTAACTTAAAAGTAACAATAAAGAAGTAACAATAAAAAAATAACAATAAAAAAACTCAAGGGAATAGGCGCTATTCAAGGTGCGCTGGTTGTTCAAGAAAATTTCTCAATATACAAATTATAAAAATTAAATTTATTGAAGAGACCGTAGAACAAACAAAATCGTTGAAAAGATAATAATTTTACGTTTTTTTCGGTTAGTCTTCTAATCTTCTTTAGCGAAAAATATACGCAGAAATTACATACTTAGTATTGATCATTGTCTACGCATATAAAATTGGAAGATGTAAACTTTTTTGCAATCTCCAGGGAAACCAAATTAAGTTTTCTTGAGAATACATTCTCTTGTTAGATCCATGGCCAGTTAGGTTCGTGGCGGATCGCCTGAGACAAACATACTTGCGGGAAGGAATTAATCCGGAGGGAAAGATCCATTCTGCCGAGGGATCGGGACCTCATTCGGGAGGTAGAGTTCCGCCGCTTCGTGGAGGGAACTATTTGTTTAGCCTTCCTTCGGAGACTCCTGATGCAGCAGTCAGGGAAGCTCTGATCACATTGGTGAGTGGATGTACACATGGGACCTTACTTACCGCATGACCCAGGTCACCATGGATCATGGGTGTTTTGAAGCCTACCTTTATGAGATAGGATATGCCGATGTGGTGGTTCGCCGATGTGCACCCATTGTAGGGAGAAGAGGAAGCAATTGATACAGCTAGACGCTATTGTTTTACTTCTTTTGAGTGAATCGGCGTGTGGCGCTCTTCAACGTCCTAGGTCTGGACGTGTCTGACAGGATGTACGGCGCCATAATTAGGGCCACTCTGGATTCCTCGCGATTCCTTTACGGCCCTTCCGGACTTCTGCGAGGTCGTGATGAGAAGAAAGGATGAGCAGGCAGAGCGTGAGCGATGGGCTCTGGAGGACGATCCTCGATGGCTGAGCATAGAGGCATGTACAGGGTGAGCCATCTAGCATTTGGAATTTCAACTACCGGTTATTTTGAGTTTGAAAGGCGTAATAACATTTATGACGTATCAGAAATTTAGTTTTTTGTTTGACATTTACGAAATTGGTCGCTATATGCTTGAACAAAATTGAGAAATATTGAAAACTTACTTCCAAAATGGTGAGTCTTCAACCCAAACTGTAAGATATTTACGTGGAAAATTTGGTAGAAAAGAAATGCCTTCAACGCAGTTTGTGGATCAATTTGTGAAGCGAATTCGGCAAACTGGCTCCTTATTGGATAAAACAATTTCACGTGTTCGTTCAGTAAGGTCAATCGAAAACATTGCTGCTGTTGCTCAGAGTGTGCTTGAATAACCATCAACATCAACTCGCCATCGTTCTCAAAACTTGAACATTTCACGCACTTCTTTGGGAAGAATTTTGAATAAAGACCTCGGTATGAAGCCGTAGAAAGTTCAATTAGTGCAAGAATTGAAGCCGCATGACCATCCGATGCGTTTTCGGTTCGCCCAATGGGCTGAACAACGCTTGGTTGAAGATGAGCATTTTTACCGAAAAATAATCTTTTCTGATGAAGCTCATTTTCACCGGTGGCTATGTGAACAAGCAGAATTGTCATATTTGGAGATCAGAGAAGCCGCACGTTATCAGTCATCGGAAAAGCCGATGCATCCACAACGAGTGACTATTTGGTGTGGTTTTTGGTCCGGCGGCATCATTGGGCCATTTTTCTTCGAAAATGAGCAAGGAGCTGCCGTCACTGTCAATGGCGAGCGCTACCGCACGAATTCTTGCTTCCCAAATTTGAAGAGGAGGACACAGACGACATTTGGTTTCAACAGGACGGCGCACCTTGCCACACAGTCAACGCTACAATCGATCTTTTGCGCCCTATCTTCGAAAATCGCATAATCAGCCGAAATGCTAATGTCAATCAATTAGCCGCCTCGCAGTTGCGATTTGACTCCTCTGGACTATTTTTTATGGGGAATTTTTTATGGGTCAAGGATGAGTTATTACCTAACCAGCCAGAAACGATTCAAAAATTAACATGAAATCAAAGTTGCCATCGATAAAATACGCGCCCATACAGTGGAAAATGTATTGAAAAATTGGATTGATAGAATGGGGTATTGTGCAGAAAGCCGTGAAAGTCATTTGAATGAAATTATATTTCATGTTTAATGTCAATGTACTACCTTTCCAATAAAGCCATAAACTTTGAAAAATATTCATGCGTTTTTTTTTAGAGCTAAATTAAATTCCAAATTTTAAATGGCCCATCCTGTATAGTGTAAATAGATAGGTGTAATTTTAATTTCTTAGATTAGGTTTTCTGGCATAGGTTACATTTGAGGTGATTTATGATTTGGGTGCATCCTGATGAAATACAGGATAGACGATCCAGGCGAGCACTGAATTAATCTTGCGGAAGTGTCGGTTTATAGAGGGAGTTTTTTAGCGAGACAGGCGATGGTATCCGCTGTCCTTCCTTACTAAGAGGAAGAACCTACGCAGAACCATCGAATCTCACACACCTAGGAAATCGAACGTCATTCAGTTCTCTCTTTGGGAGCATCCCGATGGGTTTTGCGAAAATTTTTCTCCTCTCGCAAACAAAAATATACTCAATATTAATATAAAATAAAAGTTAAAATAGGTTGAAAAACATAACAAGCGAAGTTATGTCCTAGTATATGTATATGTGTATATACATATACTATATATATATAT